CCTCAGCCTCCTCAGCTGCTATCGCAGCGTCTTCCACAAGACTCTTGATAAGAGCATTATAGCTCTTATTCCAGTCCTTCTTGCTAAAGTGGCAAGCTCCTGTCTTTGGGCGCTCATCTGGACGGAATGGATAGCACTAATCTTGCAAGATCTGAGTAATAAGGTGGCCAAAAGGAAGGTACTTAGCCCGCTTGGGCTTGGCCTTGCTGATGTAGTCTGCGTAGAGCTTCATCATGATGCTCCAGTATAAGGCCGGAATAAAAATCCAGTACCCTGTGTAGAAAGCATATAGGGCAGTCAAATAATCGCCTCGCCTCTGAATCTTATGGCCGGCCATAAACACGTTTTGGTACAAGACCGAATCGAAGAACCACAGATCATCGGGCAAATAGGTCCGAGTAGCAAATGTCTCGCCCTCCCTGTAATGGCCTGTAAGTGCCACAGCCATGTCTGCTTAAGAAGGCCTCCTCTCCAGAATGGGATAATTGAGCTCAAGCTCAGGAGGGCAAGCATGTGGGCATCGGCAAGATCTGGCCAGAGTCTTCACTGTAATGCGAATAAGATGGCCATCGACAATAGTGTGCAGCTCCGCCAGATTACTCGGGGCAGGCCGGAGGTTCTGGAAGAACATCCGAACAAGCCCCGGGTAAACTGGGTATGTGACAGGGGCTAGAATGGCTGAAATGCCCCTCCGGTCTATATCCTTGTAGGTTGCCTGAGTCAGAATGTACTGAGAGAAGAAATAAATATCGAAAACTGACTCATCCACCACTGTATAGTGTGAGTATCTCGGCGTAGAGGTCTGTCTAAGGCTTGGCCTGGCAGTGCATAAGGCGGAGATGAAGAAGGCGATGGTGTATGCTCAGCCTCATCATGAGATGATGAAGATGCGGAGATTGAAGGCTGTAGTCTAAAGTCAACTGAGGGGGACTGAGCTAGATCTGCCTCAATATAAACCTCTAACTGCTCTGGCTGTTCAGCCTCAACAGGCTGTTCTGAATCTTAGACATGAGATGGTCCTGCCTGATACTTGGGCTGCTCCTGAATATGGGAGGGCTCGCCTGGCTCCTCTATCCTGGCCTGACTCAGCGTGGATGATGCCTACGGGCAACAGTCTTTACCCTAGCCATGGCTTGCAAAACAGAAAGAAAAACACTTGCAGAAGAAGTCAATACAGGCATAAAGTAGTGAAGCATAGTATATAGAAACGTATATGTCAAATAAGATAGACAACAAAGAACATGAATCTACGCAAGTGATGATGGAGCTAAATAAACAGTGACATTAAGTGAAGCATGCTAAACAATAAAAGTATGGAATCCATCCAATGTGGAAAACACAGGCATTGGACAAGTATGAGATAACATGGAATCACAAACGAGAGTGTATGAAATGTGGAATGTAAATTTGTGAAATTCGATCGATCACAAAAATGTGAGATTAATCTCTATGAGATCGATCTGAGATAAATTCGATCGATATTTGAATGATCAATCGAAAAAAACTTTGATCGATTGAATTGGTACGGGAAATTCAAAAAGTCATAGATCTGTAACGTGGATGGCACGGGGGCACCGAAGCAAGCTTGTGGGGCCCTCTCACACAACAACACAACAAGATTGGTCACTTGTTTGGCCCGTGACCCCCAAAATCAAGTCAAAAATGAAATATATACAAAAACCTAAACATATATATATACACATATACACACAAACATGGAATCTTCAAATATGGCAAGGATTAAGCATGGCAACTCTAGATCTAACATGTAAAGCTCAGATTCATGAAGATTAAAAACTCGAAATCAAAAGAAAAACTCGGGACTTACCAAATCCGAGACAAAGAGAGGTGGAAATCGAGAGAGATGATGAAATCGGAGATGAGAAATGATGTGGAAGCTTGGGATGGTCGCCGAAGGGTTCGCCAGAGATGGGAGAGGTAGGGTTTGCAGCGGCGAGGGAGATGAGGGCTTAGATCGATGTTGAAATCGATCTAATGACCCTAGTGTTTTATTTTTAAAAACTGGTCCCGACAAGTTCGATTGATCAAGGAAAATTTTCGATCGATCGAATATAAATCGATCTGAAAATGTTGAGTTCGATCTCCCCTCACTAAACGACAAAATAAATAAATTAATTAATTAATTAATTAAAATCAACTAGGTGAAGACATTGTTTAAAATCAAGTTACAAGTTAATTCTACACTAGATACAACTAGGTGAATTAAATTTCATACAAAAAAATAATTAAATAAAGTTTTTTAAACTCATTCAAATATTCTCAATTTAATATATGTTAAAGAACATACCATACTCATTACATATATCAAGTCAAATGTCAATTTAAATGAATGTAACACTTGAATATAAATTAATTAAACTAAGTAATTAATTTCTTTAGAATTTAAATCAATTTCAAATGACTCCAAATAATTATGTGCCAATGGTACTATCATGGTAATCACATATATCAACTCAAAAACTTAATTAAGTAAGTGGAACAATTAAATAAAAATTAATTAATTTTAAATAATTAAATCTCTAGATTCTAAAACAACTCCAAATGACTTTATACTAATACAAGTTATAGATCAAGTCATGGCCTTCAAGAATATCATGTCCTACCTTAATTTCATGCAAAGTACTACAACCTATTAATTTAAAAATTAAGTATAAGACATGTAAACAATTTATTGTAAGCTATAAAAACAATTAAAACACTGAGATTAAAAACCTAAATCACCCCCTACCTCACAAGAGGATTGTTCCTCTTGAATCCAAAGCAAACAAAGGAATTTTACAATTTCCTTCAAGGGTTATATAAAGGAATGTGAGGCAAGTGTTTTGTGTTCCAAACTTTTAGGTCTAAGGTGAGTGGAAGGAGATCAAAACCAAGGTTTTAAGAATAGGTTAATGGTTTCTTTCAATGGTGGCTAAGGTTTTATATGAGGAAGATGATGAAATAAAAAACATGTAAAATGAAATATTAACCCCTTTTTGTGTAATCCTCCACTCACTTGGTCAAAGCAAGTCAATTACACCAAGTCTTGCACCATGCCTACACACACACAAAAGTTAGACTTTAATTTGGAGCTTACACTTGTTATTAATCCGATGGTTCATTCTAGGCTTAATCTAAAGCCTACACTTGTCAACAATCCAAGTCAACAAGTGCACCAATACTAGGCCAACAAGTGGGTGAATCTCCACCCTCCACATGTCATCATCCAAGGCTTCCAAGTGTGAACCAATGAGATGCTTGCAAGTGGACCAATGAGATGCTTGCAAATGGACTAATGAGAATGCGACACTTGTCACACTTTCCGGTAATTACAAAAAGGTCCTTTTTGAAAATATCTACCAAAATAAATTGCAAAAAGCTCCTAAGAAATAAAATAATTATTTTTCATAATTACGAAAAAATCTCAAAAATAAATAATGTTTTCGAAGAAACTATTCATCCATGCCCTTAACGGAAAAGTAAGCAACTAGCATGCTTTTCTATAAAAAGTAAAAATACAAATATCATGGAAATAACATATCATGGATACATACAAAATCGGAACTTAATCCGAGCACAAAAAGTGAGGTTACGCGAAGAAAATCATTCTCGGGAAAAAGACGAAAAGTGAGTAGTGTCCAAAAAATGAAAAATGTGGAAATGACTCGGTCCTTAAAGGAAGTTGTCGATCAAAAGGAAAAAGTCTCGGAAACCATTTTTGAGCACTCGAGACGACGCTAAGTGATGAGTAACCGAACTCAGAAAAGAAAATTCAACGAAAAAAATTTATCCTTAAAATTTTAGAAAAATGAAAGGAAGGAAAATCACCGAGTCATTACATGTATTGTAATCCAATGCATCCTTACAGTTTATTAACCGATTCTAATCAATCCTCAACCACATTAAACATTAAGAATTCGGTAAAGAATCAGTAGAGGATATGTTAAATAACTTGAATTTTGGACTTTGCATGCAACCTTTACACTAAGATATTCACGTTGTAGTTTTACGTGAAACACATAGGCACCCAACTATAAATTAATTGTTAACAAGTTTTATTCACACTTGAAACACTAGTTTCCAATATATATATATATATATATATATATATTCAAAAAGTAAAGAGAACAATGGTTCAGAACTAAATCGGTCTTTCATACTTCGGTTCAGTTCTATGTGCCAATAATTTTGATTTTCGATTCTAATTTTTAAGGAAGCCTTGAGAACCATTCGGTTCTAAATTACCCTGAAATTGGATCAAAGTGGACGGCATGCACACCACCTACGATTAGTTAAAAAAAAGAAGTGTTATTTGCTACGAGGCAAACCATAAAATTAAAATAAAATAAAAAGCCGCCAAGGGAAGAAAGAGTTTATTATAATAAGAAAATGAACAAAAAGAAAATGTATATTGTTGATGGTAATGATATTAGAATAAAGGTTAGTTTGATGTGGTGGAATGGAATGACTTTTTGTTCCATTCTCGTATTTGGTATCAATTTTAAAGTTGAAATTATCATTCTCCACTATTCTTGGAAAATGGTTATTCCATTAAAATCATTCCACCTTCAAATAAAATGAATGACTATTTCATTTTATTCTCATTCTATTACTATCTCCATCCTTATTCTATTCTCGTTCATTTCACTACACCAAACTAGTCCTTAACTAAATGAAGAAATGACGATCCTACCAAGGCCAATGGCTTCCAAATTGTCAAACCACAGCTTGTAATTTTTCAGATTTCACTCTCATGAAGTCCGTGTCTTGATGATGGACCATTAAAAAGCCTTTTGGTCGATCTATAGCTGTCATTTTGGGTTGTAGACAATCCATTGACTATTGGTCTTCTCAAATACTACGATTCTGTCAATATTCACCAGAAAGATGAGACAGACGCATAAATATTTATCAGCTGCCACGTAGAGATAAATCAGCTAAGGTTGTCCCTCCTCTCTCTCTCTAATATCTCTCTCGCTCTCTATATATATAATATATCAGTTTATGTGACTAATGCGGGTGGGGGGAGAGCCACTGGCAGTTGCTCTGCTGCTGAGTAAATGCAACCACACCTGAAACACTCACCCCATCCATTTTAACAAATAAATTTCACAACCCCTCTAGTCTATGCATATGTGTATATATATATATATATATACACGCGCGCGCGCGCGCACACACACGTGCTTTCGAAGCTTGAACCAAAAATTTCTACCATACTTACATGTATCGTCCTGCAATCTAGCTTCCTCACCGGTACGTCTCTTCCACACCTTCAATTTCTGATTCCATGTTATATTTTGTGAGTTCAATTATTATCTATGTATGTATATATTCTGTTAAGACACTGATGATCTGTTTGAATTTTGTGTTATTTCCATTTTTTGTTGTATAATTTTGGGCTTTTTGTGTTGTTCTGAATCATATGATATATAATTAAATATTGATGAGAGCTAGGGCTTCTTTTGGATGATTGATTGTATGGGTCTTCCTCAATTTATTACTCTGCCTTTGTATCTTCTCTCTCTCTCATCTGCAACTGTGTGTACTGTTCTAGGTTCTTATTTAGACAGGGTTCTAATGGATTTAGTGCCTAGAAGTTAGAGGGCTTTCTTATTTTCTTCAAGGTGAACCACAATTTCTAAACAAATTGGATCAAATTTTGATGCAATATGGTTGAATTGAGGCTTGTATAGCAGCTTGTACATTATTTTTTCAGGTTATATGCTGTGATGATATGATTTCTCTTTCAAAAATAAAAAACCAAATATACATAGAATACTAGTTGAATTGAGGGCTTGTGTGGTATTATTTTTTTTTTTTTGTTGGCAAGAAACTCACACACCCATTTGCCCTTAAAGAGGACTTATACCCTACTCTCGCTTTGGAATTGAAAAGCAAGACATAGAGGAGATACCATCATACAACTAGGTTACTGTCCTTGGTGGCGAGGCTTGTGTGCCAGTTTGTTGACAAGTATTCTGTTTTCAATCCCATTTATGCAGATTTAACAACTCACCCGTTGTAGCCGGAGTGTATACATAGTTGAACTTGGTTATCGGGCTTTTGGGGGAACCGGTTATGTTGAAGCAATCACCTAGTAGGAACCAGAGGTCAAAAGGATTGAAGGTGAAACATGCTCTTCAGGTATGTGTGTTGCTTGCCATTTGCATATGGTTGCTTTACCAAGTTAAGCACTCCCATCATAAGAAATTGGCATTGGAGGAGAGCTCAGGACAAAATCGACAAGGCCATGGAATATTAAAACTTGGTAGGAAGGACCTGAATCCTCAAGTTGAAGGAGAACTTGGGGCAGAGGACGAAGAAAGCAAAGGCGATGAAATCGAGGATGAAGGAAGAGGAGGGGGAGATGATGAGATAGATGGACTCGATCAGGATAAAGCCGAAGAGGATGATACGGAGCTATTAGAGGATTTAATTGATGAAGACGATAAGGAGAGGGAAGACGGGACTGAAGGGAGAGAGAGTGAACAGAACGAAGATCCTATGGATAAGATTATTGGGTGGAACTCCAAGAAGGCACGAGAGGAACATAACAAAGCGGATGGTGCAGCTAGTGATGTGGTTCAGAACACCCATATTGTAAGTACCGAAAATGAAAATGTAGCTTTGAGAGCAATGATGGAGGAAGAGCAACATGTGAAGAATGTAGCAAAGAATGAATTGGAGATCGAAAGTAAGACCTACAGCATAGGGGAAATAAATCAAGAGGACAAGATTCATTCTAGAAACTCATTTAGCAGTGAAGAGAATGTTGGTGAATTCGATATAAACATTCTAGACGACCGCTCACATTTCAATTCCTCATTGAAGGCAGAGTTTAATGAACAAGAAGTGAACAGCAATTCAGTAACAGCAGATGTGAATTCGGATACAGCTAAGACAGAACTGGGGGATTCATATATTGAATCCAAGTCTGCTGTACAAGAAGAGATTGTGAAGCTTGACGCTGCTGCCGGAACAGAGGACAACTCTGCTTCAATCTCCACCACGGAAATGGCTGGTGCAGGTCATAGTAGGGACTCAAATGCAAATTCCATGGCAGAAGAACTAGAGGAAGTATCAGAATCGTCAACAAGAAATGAAATTGCAGAGAATACTAGAAATGAACCCATCGATTCTTCTTTCTACCAAGATAATAAGGAGGATCACAATGCTTTGCTGGCCTTACTAGAGACCAACCTTCCGTCGATTCTTCTGATGAAAGGTTGAGGGGTTCTCATCTCTAGCTGCATTCCAAGTCCAACTATATTCTTTTTCATCCAAATATAAATGTTCGTGTTTTAGTGTAAGTTTAACTATGTAGTTTTGTGCAAATGTACAAATATCATTTGCCTGAACCCACCCTAGAAGAATAGGGTTGTTACTTGGTTCTTTTTGGCAGTGATTAGTGTAGAAATTTTGCAGACATCAAAACTCTATCTTTATGTATAATTCATCCGAGTTTCCAGTTTACTGCTTCATCTTTACTGTGGAATTTATCATCTCAATATGTTTGATTTACCAAACCGGAAAATACATATACATATATATATATTGAAAAATAAATAAATATGTAAAAGGGGAAATCAAGTTTTCCAACCATGTTATACATGGCCTATTAAATTGACCATAGCAGAGAAATCAAACTATAGTTTGGCAAAATTCCTAATTTTTTTTATCCAATATTTTGCATTGAACATAGACCAAAAAATAACAAGTCAGAGAAAAAGAATCAGAAGAAAATCCAAGTTCAAGGTGTAAAGGATAGTTTAAATATGCTTGGTACTTGCAAAGAAGCCCCAACTGTTGTCAAATTTCCAATGGCACTTGGGCATAGATGAACAAGAAGTAGGTAGCTAAATAGAGTGGCTTGTTATCAAGGTTGCATGCACAACTATTGGGAGCGGAAGAGCGTGCGCGGAGCGCTAGAGCCGGAGGAGTGACACCCATTTAAAAAGTGCAAGTTAACGGATCGGAAGTTAACGACATGAAACACATGTTATGAAGACTAATCCTGGTATAAGGTCATTAAAAGTGAATGTTAGGTTAGCAAGGAAAAAAAGGTCCGTGCAGGCTATGGTATAAAGTCAACCCATCGTTTAGGAATTCAAAAACCATAAGGAAGTCCACACATCCATAGAAACAATGATCCTAAGATGCTATTAAATCCATCATTGAAAAGTTAATAACTGCAAGCTCAATTCATATTCTTTTAATCTGTCTAATACATCTCATAATTCATAAATGCTTAGAATTATCAAACCATTGTTGCTGCTGTGTGATTAATGGGATCGAAAAGAAATAGCATTGTTTTGGAATTTCACTTTTTCTCAATGACGCAAGATGGAGAGTTATATGGCCACTATTCATTACTCTTTTCCGATTGATGGCCTTTTTCAAAATTGGCTTATGTGTTATTTTGATAAAAAATAAAATTATGTACTAGAAAATTTTAAGAGTTTAATTTGGAGTGGTTATTATAAATTGAGAATTTTTTTATATTTATTTAGATTTTAAATGTTATAATAATAATATTCAAGGCATATTATCAAACGCACTTTAATCGATTCAATGATATACACACACATATGCTACACTACTACTCAACAAACCCTCAACCGCCCACCCTTCTTTTTCTTATCAGATAAATTCTCACTATGTCTACATTGAGACTCAAACTCCTACCCTCCTTTTTAAAGGATGTAAACATATACCATTAGGCTCGACCGGTAGGGGTCTTTCAGTAAACCTTACCTTAAAACCAACTGAGCAGCAGAGTGTGTGTATAAAGAGAGAGAGAGAGGTACCACTCCCAATGAAAAGTACTCATTTCTCTTGATAACTATGTATTATGTGTGGTGAAGAAAATGTACGGTCCCTTAAGGGGTGAGCCCACATTTATAGTTGGCATTTCATGGATACATCCGTTAGATATAAAAACCTAATGGATAAGCCTAGCCCAACCCAATAAAGCCCAATTGATAACTACAAACAAAAGAAGCCCAATTGGTAAACCACAAACAAAGAGAATATAGAGTTTTCACTACCACGTGTCATGCACTCCAAGGTAATGTATACTTTCTCAGTGGATCATGTTTTGAAAGTGTAAAACCCAAAATAGCTATAATAATAAGGGTAAATTATATTGGCATTCCTAAAATTTTGTCAATATACACTAATATCTCCTTTTGTTTGTCAAATTACATTTATCTCTATTGAGATTTGAATGTAAATAATACAAATTTCTCGACCAAAAATATTGATGTCAACAATTTTGTAATTTTTAAATTTCAGTTCTACCCTTGAAAAATATATTTACCGTAATAAAATACAATATATATATATATATAAAGATATAAACATAATTACAAACACGATAAGTCTAACAAAAAATGTCAGTTTATATTAACTAAACTTACGAAAAGGTCATTGTAATTTGTCCTAAAAGCAAATGGAATCATGCCTGAATTATAAATAGATTATCAGTATATAACTACTAAAATAATAATATATAAAATAAAGGGTAAAGTACACTGACACCCCCTGAGGTTTGGGATAAGGACAGCCAGATGAAACTTAGCCTATTTTGGGACAAAGACACCCCCTCAAGTTTGATACAATAACCAAAAACACCCCAATGGTAATGAGTTGACATTTCTGTCCTTTGACTTTTATATTGACCATGAAATGACATTTCTGTCCTCAGATACCCGTTCCAATTTCTTTCTCTCTCCTCTGTTCTCTCTTCCGCCACCCCAACACCAACGCACACACATACATATATACACAGACACATACATATATATATGTATATACAAATACATATATATATATATACACACACATATATGTATGTATATACAGGTGGCGATGGTGAATGGATGCGGGCCTTCATCCTTCGATTCCATCGGTGAGCTTACCCAAAGCCGGAGTACGCAAGTCATGAGTTGGGCTTAATGGCGGCGGTGGCAATAGTTGTTCGACGAGGGCGACGGTGAGTGCTCTTGCTTGGTTGATTCTCTCTGTCAGGTCTTGATATATCCCACGGCAGCGCACAAAATTGGAGCCATCAGTCTGACGAAGCTTCAAACTACAAGACCCGATTCTGTCCAGCGAGCCCCAAATCCGGTGAAGCCCAGTTCAGATCGACGGACCCCAAGCACGAACAGTTCCCGCGACCCAGAAGAAGAGAATGAGGTTTCGACAGATTGAGAGGGATCGCAGAGAACTGGGTGGTTGCGCCGCCTTGCGTAATCGGAGGGTATGCTGAAAAGGGTACGCAGATCTGACTCTGCTTTCTGGATGATTGAAAGGAACTCTTTCCCTCTGTGGCTCATTTCCATCACGCTCATTCTGGTTCCACGCCAATTTTAGAGCTCGGATTTGGTCATCTTGGGCACGTTTTCAGGTAGAGTGGCCGAACTGGCGATGAAATTGAAGACCTGATCTTGGGATTGGGAGGTGGAGGTTGGGCGATCTTGGATTTGGGTTGTTGAATATGTGATCGATATGGGTTTGTTGAGGCACGAAAATAGGTTGAAGGGGAAGCCATTGAAGTGGGTGGTGGTGATTGTGTTGGGGCTTTTGAGAAGGTGAAGGTTAGGGTTTTTCAGGAGGAGAGGATGAGGTGAAGTTGTTGACGTTGCCATGGTGTTTTTGAAGTTGTTGACATTGCCATGGTGATAGACCAAAAGCTTGATCCTTCCCTTCCATTGGAGAGCTTGAAGGCACGGTGGTTTGGGGGTGGGTGTTGGTGGTTGTGGAGTTTTGGTGTGGTTGCTGCAGAATCCGGTTGTAGGATTGATGGGGTGTTGAGGGTAATTTGGTCATTTAATTATTTTAATATTTTATAATTAAAATAATGAAGGATAATGTTGACTTTTCATATTTTTTAAGGCTCTATTTGGCTTGTAAATATTATGAGGGGGTGTCATTGTTCCAAAACAGAGCAAGTTTCATCTGGTTGTCCTTTTGACAAACCTCAAGAGATTTTAGTGTACTTTACCCTAAAATAAAATAAGAACAAAACAGTCCCCTTGACTAAACAATTCCATTTGAGTGTCCGAATAGCAAAAGAATGTACCTACAATAGATGAATGTGTTAGTGACAATTTATGTCTATGTTTCCCTTTTCCGGAGAAGAAGGGATTCGATATATTTGGGATTTCCCCAACTCTGTCACCGGAAGTCCCTACATATATATCTAATCGTATCAAATCATTAACTCAAATAACACATACATGTATGTGTGTGTGTGTGTGTGTGAGAGAGAGAGAGAGAGAGAGAGAGAGAGATTGGGAGGAAGAAGGTAGGGAATAAGTAAACTGACTAGTGGCGTTGGAGAAAACGACGGGTGGAAGCGCCCACATATCGAAGAATCCAAACAAAACGAAGCAACCCAACTAATATCAACCACTGTCCCAACCACTTCATTTCCTTCCCCTTTTCCTTCTTCCTCTCGTGGCACTGTTGATTCCTATTCTACCAAATTTCCAATAACACAATGCCATTACAGCATGAGAGGGTCCACCAGACCACCATTATTCTTATTATTCTTATTCATCTTTTCAGATTCACTCAAATAAGAGAACATGCAACAATATATGCAAGAGGTGAGACCACGAATCCTTGTGGAATAAGCAAATGCGGCTCGAATACAACTAAAAGTGTCTAAAAATTTTTTAAAAATAAAATTTGTATACTTTTTGAACACTTTAATGGATGATTTTGTAATTATCTTTTCTAAAAGATTGGGATTCAATGTAATTTTAAATATATTATGAGTTAATTTAGAAAAATAACATAAAATTTTAAATAACAATAATAACAAACATTTAGCCATAAACTTCAAATTACTAATTTTATTCATGATTTTATGAATACAATGGCAAAAAAATATTATTTATATACATAATAATATATATTATATTTTTTGACCTATTAATGTTAACGGATCAGCGCTTACTCATTTACTCAAAAACTTAAGTTATTAAGTAGTGTTGCATACCCACCCATTTATATTCATTTCACTTTCCATCCGGATATGATGTGGGAGAAACTCCTTGTAACATTCGAACTCGTAATGCCCTCGTTGCGGTTAGGCCACCCTGCCTACCTGAGTGGACTCAACCGGATGCCTCTAGGCCAAGCATTTAGCGTGACATCGGATCAATGAACAAGTCTACTTTGATACCAATTGTAACGAGTAGGCGCTTACCCATTTACCCAAAATTTTAAGTTATTGGATAATACAACATACCCTAAGTCACAAAATTCTTCTCAACGGGTGTCGCTGTCACGCTCCGAATTATTTATAACTTAAATCTGCCCTCTCCCGCTCCTGCTCTAGAATTCACTTTCACTCCCGCTCCCACTATATGTGACTTAGTACATACCCATCCATTTATATCTATTTCATTTTTCATCTCCATCCAACTTAATTGGGACAAATTATCTTCACATAGGTCTACGGA